ATCACATTATGTCCAATGATAAAGGATTTAGAATATGTTTGGTGAAACGTATAAAAACTTCAGATTTTTGATACTATTTATGTTTCATAAGTTAAATTTTTTTTTTTTTTTTTTGGAAAAAAGGCAAGTTTTCCATTAGACGTTAGATGACATGTACAAATTCCTCCCAGGTATACCTGGGGAATTACACCTTTCAGATGTTTAATCTCAAAAAATTAACTATATTATTATATACATCCTTTTCAACCAAAAACTTACTAAGAGTTACTCTCCTATTTCTTTCCTGCCAAATCATATATATAGTGGCAGCTACCGCAGCCTTCAACTTGTTTGACTGCGTCGATCGGCCTTTACATGCCTTCTTTAACCATAGCCATTCAACACTTCACCTTTTTGGTTGTCTGTGAATATTCAAGAAGTCCAAGACTAACCTCCACACTTCTTTAGCAAAACTACAATAAAAAAACAGGTGCTCACAAGTTTCATCATATCTACCACACAAACAGCACCATTTCTCAATTCTCATACCTCTACTAGTTAGTAAATATCTAGTTTTTAGTCTACCCCGCAATACTAACCAAAAGATGAATCTATGTCGCGGGAAAATGCACCCTGCCCAAACAATATGATGCCATTCTACCTTTGGGCGTTTCACTCTTAGGAACTCATAGCAACTTGAAATAGTAAACAAACCATTCTTTGCAGGTTTCCATATAGCCTTGTCCACTTGTTGAGATAGTTTTTGACATCTAATAATCTGGACAAGCATGGGATGTCTTCTCACAAGACTATCTAGAATGGTCCAATCTAAACCATCCCACCACTCACTAACTGTAAGGTCATGACCCCAAACAGCAATCTCATCCTTTGAGATCAACTCACAGAACCTTAGCTCACCTGCCCACCAATCATAGAATAGTGAAACTTGTCTTCCATCTCCCACTTGCATCCAAATGATATTTTTCAGTAGAGGACGAAGTTTTAAAACTTGCCTCCATGTCCAAGCACAATCCGTTGGGATTTTAACCTTCCAAAAATTTTCACCCCTCAACAGCACCACATGTGCCCACTTAACCCATAGCGACTCTTGATGTTGACATATATTCCAAACCAATTTTCCTAATGCTGCCTTATTCCAATGCAGCAATTGCTTCACCCCTAGTCCCCCTTCTTTTCTTGGCACACATACATCATCCCATGCTACAAGAGACATTGCATTATAATTCCATTTACCACACCAAATGAAATTTCTACAAGCAGCATCAATTAGCTTTAACACCTTCTTAGGAATCAATAAAGCACCACTCCAAAAAACTTGAATGTGGAATAAAACAGAGTTAACTAGTTGAACTCTACCTGCATATGAAAGGAATTTCGTTGCTCAAGAGCCAATTCTCTGATGAATTTTATCAATAATTAGTTGACATGCCCCAGGGGATAGCTTTTTTGAAATCAATGGCAACCCCAAATATCTAACTAGAAGTTGTTCCTCCGCAAAACCCAGCTTCTGAATTAAAGCAACTTTCTACCCTTCTCTAATACCACTGAAGAAAACTTGACTCTTCATTCTATTCACTTCCAACCCAGAGACTTGGGCAAACTCCTCAAACTTTTGCATCATCAATACAGTGGACTCCTCATCAGCCTTACAAAAAAGCATAATGTCATTTGCAAAGATCAAGTGCGTAAGTTGCATCACTCGACACTTACTATGATATTTAAACTTCTCTTGCATATCTAACTCCTTCAATTTCCTTATGAGATATTCCATCACTAGCACAAATAGATAAGGCGAGATTGGATCACCTTGTCGAAGCCCTCGTTTCCCTTGAAAATAACCCTTTGGCTGTCCGTTTATCAATACAGAGAATATGGTAGTAGACACACAAAGCATAAGCCAATTAATAAATTTATCATGGAAGTTCAGCCCTCTTAACATTGCAATAACAAAACCCCAATCCACTGAATCATATGCTTTTTGTAGATCAATTTTCATTAAGCATCTAGCTGGCCCCCTACTTCTATGATAGTTCCTCACCAAATCTTGGCAAATCAATAAATTTGTTGTTATAGATCTGCCCTTCACAAATGCAGTTTGATTACTGCTAACCAGCATGCTCAACACTTCATTAATCCTCTAGGTTAAGAGCTTTGATATCACCTTGTAGATGACATTACAACAAGCTATTGGCCTATAATCACTGACAACATTTGGGCAACTCACCTTCGGAACAATAATGATATTGGTGGCATTAATTTGCTTGAGGATTTTCCCACTGTCAAAGAAATCCAACACAGCAGCCGTGACATCATTTTTAATTATTGACCAGGCTGCTCTATAGAACCCTGAAGTGAATCCATCAAGCCCTGGTGATTTGTTAGAAGGAATTGAAAATAGGGCAGTCTCCACTTCCTTAGCAGTAAATGGCCTACATAACTCTTCTGACTCTTTAGTAGTTAACACTCTGCCCCTGCGGATAACATTCATATCAACTGCTTGAACACCTTCTTTTGCCTTTCCAAACAAGTTTTGATAGAACATTAAAAACTCTTGTTCTATAAGTTCAGGCTGAGTCACTCTAACTCCTTCACTGTTCAGGATGGAGTTAGTAACACTTCTATGCTGCCTCTCCTTTACTTTAGCATGAAAATAAGCAGAATTAGAGTCCATCTCCTTTAGCCAAGTTACTTTAGCTTGCTGGGTAATTACGGATAGATTTGCTCTCTCAAGCTTAGTTAATTCACGTTGAAGTTCCTTTTCCTTTGCAGCCAAAGTCTCATCAAATAAAGCATTCTGCATGGAAGCTTGAACATTTTGTAGCTCTGTTTCCATATCTTTTATTCTTCCCTCCAAGTTTCCATATCTATTTTTATGCAGCTGCTTCATCTTCTGTTTTACAAATTTCAATTTCTGCACTACAACAAACATAGGGCAGCCCTGAACATCCACACTCCAAGCTTCCCTAACCAAATCAAGGAAGTTTTCATCCTTAGACCAAGCATTGCAAAATCTAAATGGCCTTGGTTTCTCGTTCATCAATACATCCACAGTCACTAAAGAGGGTGAGTGATCTGAGGATTGTGGGTTTAGAAAGACAACAGAAGTATTTGGGAATGCACTAACCCATGATGAATTAGCCATTACCCTGTCCAGCTTACACCACAACCTGTCATTTTCCCCTTGCTTATTACTCCAAGTGAAGAAAGCACCTGAAAATTGCAAATCAAAAACCTCCATTCTGCTGATAAAATCCTTGAGCTCAGAGGTATCTCCCCAAACAACTCCACTAGGCTTCACCCTTTCACCATAATTTAGAGTTGTATTAAAGTCTCCATAAATTATCCATGGCACATTTTCAACGTCTAGAGCTCTAACTTGATCCCATAATGCTAGTCTACCATCAAAAGTATTAAAAGCATAGACAATTGTGCATAAAAATTTAACATCCCCAACTACAGAGCATACTTCAACATGTAACAATTGGTCTGTTTGAATTACTTCAGTCACCCTCAATACAGTTTTATTCCATAATATCCAAATTCTACCATTAGGATGAGAGTTATAATTATTCAACCATCCCCATTGCCTACCAAAAGTTTGCACAACTCGACTACTATTCTCTTGTTTTACTTTAGTTTCTAATAAAGCCATAAATTGGACTTTATTTGAACATATAAACTTCTTAACATCTACTTGTCTTATAGGGTCATTTAAACCCCTCACATTCCATGAAGAAAGATATATCATGAGAGAGGTTTACTTACAGAAGATTCTCCCCCTGTTGCCTTTTGCATCATCTCTTTATCCCCTGTGCCAGTACTAGTCTCACTCTGCAGATTCATTGACTTCACAACTCCCACTTCCAGTTGCACTGGACTTTGCTCATTTCTTTCCCCTATCAGCTCTCCAGAAGAACGTGAAAGTGTACTTTGCTTCACATTTGTAGCAGTTTGCACTTCACCACCACATACTTCATCATTCCCCTCAATAGACTTCTTGCCAACTATCTGATTTACCACCTGCTCCTCGGCAGGTTTTTTTGGAACCCACA